ATTACTAACCTCGCCTGGACCTTCCCTCAGGGTTTCTACTGTAGCCTGCCCACTTAAGCAATGGACTTTGTAGTGAGGTTAGTAGTGACTGGGAGTGCCATGAGTGTTCATATCACCCGAAAAGTAATCCAGTCATACCATGGCAAGTACATACATGCCACCATGAGCATCTCCTGTAATGCCATCTGTCAGACTTCCATTCCACTGTCACGGCTCCACAGGTCTTCCCGTCTGAAATTTTTCTACTACTCTAATACCTTTTACCATCTTTTTGGTTTTATCAGATTTTGAGATATTTCTCCTATCTATTCCTTAGCTTCAGCTGATAGCACTAAATCACTTGCACTATATATGTATACAACAACTAGAATCTCTATTTCAACACATTTTTTGTAGACTCCTCCCCCACCATAATGAAGGAATAAATGCATGAGTGCATGTGTGTGCATTTATATATTTCATACATATACCTAACCCTCAGCTATCATGCCTACTTGGTTATGGATCTGTGTGTGATAGTGCAAAGTCAAGAGAGTGGGATGTAAAGAGTTAGTATGAATATCTATTGCTGGTTCCTGAGGAGATAATCTATCTGCTATTTTGTAATATTTTCTAACCACTGCCCCAGAATAAATGCTTCATCTATTGAGAACATAAAACACAATATAATGCTGAATTCACCTACAACATAGACGACCATCAAACACTGACAGGTTTGCCTAACAAGGACTAGAGGGCTAGTTCGTTTATTACACGTTAGCTTGGAGGCTGTAGTGATAAGCTTTGTAACCTATTGCTACTATCTGCTATTTTGGCCCCAGAATAAATGCTTCATCTATTGAGATCATAAAACACAATATAATGCTGAATTCATCTACAACATAGATGACCATCACAACACTAGTTTGACAGGTTTGCCTAACAAGGACTAGAGGGCTCGCTGGTTTGCAGTTCGTTTAAAGCCACTTACATGTTAGTGGTGAGCTTGGAGGCTGTAGTGATAAGCTTTGTAACATTATGGCCTATAAAGATATCTGGAGGTGAGCAAGTGGGGAGGAGTAAACAACTAACTTTCTCTGTTCACTTAATTAATGAAGTTAAGCATACCAACTTTAATCATTAAAAAATCATTCATTGAGGACACAGAAACAAAGCAGCTCTTAGCCATTTTCACCTGCCTGTGCCTGCTCCCTGTTAGTGTGGACACAAACTGAGGCATTGTCACAATTGTTTTATACCTAATCAAAATCTATACTGACCTTGTTATATTGCCCTCATTCCAGAAAAGTACAAACTGTATCAATTGCAAGAGTTTGCACACACAACATACTGAGTTCATTACCTGCCTGAAAATATCAAACAAGTCAACTTAATTGTATATAACTCAGTTTACTTTTCTCCAAAGTCATTTACAACTATATAATTTTCCAAGGTAATTATCTTTCCAAGAAATTGGACTACAGTATGTATACAGTGGTTGACTTCATTGCCCAAAAGATATTCAAATCTACCTAGACCTCTTTTGCCATCTTGTTTGTTACATTTTCAGATATACAAACTTCCATATAGATAATCTCCTATCTAAATACTGGATAAATGATTCCATATTCCTTATAGTCTAAATTAATTAAATATTGATATCTCTTTTTACCATCTACCAGTTTGACGTTATGAAGTATAGACATAAACTTTGGCCATGAAAGGGATGATAGGACATAAATACAGTCCTCTGGTGCATCAGCAGATTCCCCAATACTGCATCACAATCAGGGGAAACATTATATTTCACACACTATTTCTTTAATATAACATTGAAAAATATTGCATGTTACAAGTTGTTTTTCAATTTTATATCATAATTCTCAATTCTTTTTTAAACCAGTGGCACCAGGAAATAACCTGAGTGTACTTACTACTGTGCCATAGTCTGGAAATAAGATCATCAAAGCAGGATGATGTTTTTCTTTCCCATTATCATTTTCCAATAAAAGCATCAAAGAAAGAGCACAGACTGAATTTGGAAGGCTTCTGCTTGAGAACTAGTAATCAAACTTCAACTTCTACAACACAACACAACACAGAACAGCCGCCATTGCCAAAGTATAGCATAAATAGCATTAAGGCTCACACTTCACCACTATCTGATAATGGAATGGGATACATTTTGCCATTTTCTTTGCCTTTCAAAGGAATGTGTCATATATGTGAAATTGATTCATCTACTATTAACCCAATGAATCCAGGTGCCATGCCTATCATGTCACTATAAAATTTGGCTGAGGACCAGGTGACAGGAATGTGCTGTCATAAAAAATTAAGCTGAAAGCCAGGTGACAGGAATTTCTTGCTATGAGAGCACAAAGCTTTGGGAGATTAGGCTCAGTGGGCATTTAGGGGCTCTTGCATCTCTTCCACTGTTAAACAAGGTTGAAATGTACCAACTGTGAGAAATGACTGGAATGACACAATTTACATACTCAGGACCCTCCTCCTTCCCACTGTGACCACCATGATCAAAGGCACACAGCGTAATAAGAATATTGAATAATATAAAAATATTTAAAAAATGACAGAAATAGAGCTTGCTTATTGTTATTGTTATTGCAAAGACTTGCAGACTACACAGAGATGTTATGGAGTCTGTGCAAGGATAACAGTCTGTTACCATCTTCATATAGCCCATCAAATGATAAATATAGACCTTGGAAAAGACTAATGGAACAAAAAAACATTATGCAGAAAAAGAGATAACATTGGACTGGGAGGCAAGGTGTCTTTCCATTGCACAAGAGTGTCCGTGTGGGCACCTGGCTCACAAGCCACACACCACTCAAGTAAGCCTAATGGCATGACTCTGCGCCACATGTAGATAGAGAGGCACTCAGATACAATGCATTAACAACGAACTCGATTTTTCTTGCCGATTTTGATGAAACTCACACCCTTTTATTTAGGCACCTTCCCATTTTTCAAAATCAGCCGAACAGTTTTTGAATTATTATAAAATAACAAAACATGCATAAGCCACCATGTTGAAAATACAGCACCTTGGTAAAAGGATTCCGACTTCAGAAACGATAAGACATTCAATTTTACTTGATTTTTTGTTAGAAATATTCAATATTTACAACTTGTTCTTTGTAGATTTTTTTATTTCGACTTCAAATTTTTTTGGTGAATTTTTGAAGTAGGGGACTTCAACAATTTTCTTACCTTTCTCACTTTCACATGAAGCACTGGCAAAAATCGCAAAATCCAAAAAGAACAAGTTGTAGATATTTTATTTTTCTACAAAATGGACATATCTTGCACCCGGAATCCTTTTTACCCACCCCTAAAGGTGGTGTACCGAGATATCAACATTTTTTGTTTTCTTCATCTTTCTCTTTCTTGGTATCAACAAAACAAGCTATAAGATTAGTCTTCCTATACCTTAATCCTCTATCATCTACCTGCATTCCAAAGTCTTCAGGATATTACCAACACGTAACAGTTTCTCAAAATCTTACATATAGTGTAGTGGTGCCATTCCGATTTCATGTCTGAATAGAACAATCCTTCTACTATAATATCCATTTTTGAGAAGTCGATCTCACTTTTTTGGGGTGAATATTTTCCGAAGGTGACTGTTAAAACACCCTAATAGGAGATCTTGAAAATATATGTCACTTTTATAAGAAACACATGAGAATACTGCAAATCCTTATTGCATGTAATAGATCTACTATTCAGCTACAAAATGAGCCATAATACGTTAAAATTGGACTGAAAATACGTGTGCTATGCGTAAAAATGTGACGGACCCAAACATCGCAATCTTTTTCCTTTTCATTATGTTTACATTTTACATCACAAATCATGTACGAAATACTTGTATTTGATATAATTATCTATTATTTACCAATTATTGTTGCTCTATTGGGGTTTGTCTTAGCCTAATTAATATTCCATAAAATTGTGGTGGTGATCCGGATCATTTGGCAATCCTACCCCCCATTTGGGAGGAGGTGGAGGTTTGCATTTTCGAAATGTTTTGCTCATGGATCAAACTATGTATGATGAAAATATAGAGAAAATAAAATACACCATATGAACGGTTTATCATTTTTATTTATTTGTATGAAAAATTTCTTCATTCTCATTTTTTGGACACTTGCCAGATTTTTTTAATTATTCCGAAAAAAAATGAAGGTTGGTCTCATCTTATGTAAAGTTCAGTAAGCTTTCAGAAAATAATCTAATTTTTTATTATTTTCTAAGGTAATGTGAAAAAAATAATATTTCAGTCGACATCGAAAATGGCTGCTACCACCTAAAAAAAAAAAAAAACGGTCGGGCCTTGAATTTTTCAGGGGAGAACTGAGGGCCTAGGAACTCCTTGAAAATGCATTTAACTTAATTTCGGAAAAATGGGCAAAAATCACCGAAAAAGACCAGATGGTCCCCTTACGGGTGTA